GCTCACTTGTTCTCTACAAGCAGTTCATTAGGTAGTTACTCTTATCATCACACCCACCCTACAGATGGGGAAACTGAGGCACTGGTTGGCTTAGTGACTGGCTGCAGGTGTCAGGATGAGGATGAATCCAGGGGCCGAGTTTCTTGGGTTAGAGACCACAGTTGGGAGCCACGCTTGCTGGAGGAAGTAATCACGTGACAACTACTGTTTCTCCAGTGCCAGGCATGGTGCTGGATGCTATGTAGTGATGTTCTTGTGTAGCCATGCCAATGCCTTGGCCGAGAAGGAATGTCACACTAACTCCCAGCCAGAAGGACAGGACACCATTTGTAAGACTCTACGTCAAGGACTGGGCTTCTTTGAGATTACTACAGCTTCAAGAGCCAAGACGTGTCCATGGATAACCATGACTCAGGCTCGCATCAGAGCTTGATGAAGCTGGGGAAGGCTCAGAGGTCACAGGGTCTAAACTCATTGGGACCAGTGACAAGAACTGACTTGCTTTGCTTAATCCTGCAGGGATTTCGGGGCAAACCCAGCAGGAGAATAATAATAGCTCACTCTGGCCTGGTTTGGTGGTGTGTATGTGTGTGTGTGTGTGTGTGTGTGTGCCAGTCATCCAACCAGAGAGGTACTATCATTCCCATTTCAGAGGCAGGGAAACTGACCCGTAATGTTACACAGCTAGCAAAGGGGGAGGGAGTGAGGTGGCCAGCCGAGGGGGATCCAGAGTGTGGTTCTGTCTCTGAAGCGTCATGTTCTCTGTTTGGCTGGGCCTGCGATGAAGGTACTAGAGGGGAGAGTGCTTTGCAGGGTTGTGACAAGCTGTACACCGAAGAGTTATTCTTAAGAGAAGGCAAGGGTCCCAAGAGACGTGTCAAGTGGCAAGTTTGGGAAGATCGCCAGGAGGGCAATTTGCTGTGGACTTGAACCTGTATTCCCTAAGGAGTGCCCAGGGTGGGTGGGAGATGGTGTGGGTGGAATTACCTACATTCCCTCCTGACACGGGATGGCTGATGAGTTTCTCTACTTGGCTCCTTGGTCCTAGTGAAGTGATGGGAACCAGAAGGAAACCTCTGGCGGATGCCTAAAGCTGGGATCCCAGCTGCAGAGAGCAGCATGGGCTGGGCAGCTGGGAGGGGAGACAGAGAGGCACAGGAGGTGGCTGCCAGGAACTGAGGTGTCAGGCGGCTCTCCCACATTCTACTTAGAGGTGGTGCTGTGGGCAAGCTGCTCAGCATTCCTCTGCCTCAGTTTCCTCATCTGAAGAATGCAAATGATGGTGTACTTCTAAGGCGCGGGTGGTTTCAATGCACCAACCTATGTAGTGTTTACTCCGTGCCTGGCCCAGATAAGCACTCAATAAAAGCTGGCTGTTGTTATTTCTGTCATCATAGTCCCAGGATATCCGGCTGGTGTCACTGTGCCAGGAGGAATGGGACAGGCTAGAACACGTCCAACTCAATCTACCTTCCCAATGCGTCTGAGTTGAGCAGGGGTGAGCTGGTTTGCAAAGTAACACAGATTAGTTCCCCACCTCACTACCTTCAGTTCTGTTTTTGCTCATCGATGGATGTATTTAAAATATATATATATATGTATAGTTTTTTAAAATCTATTTTTGAGGGGTCCAACGTGGTAGCCTAATGGCTAAAGTCCTTGCCTTGTATGCGCCAGGATCCTATACAGGCATTGGTTCGTATCCTGGCTGTTTCACTTTCCAGGAAAGTGCTTTTGGCCTGCTTTTGGCCTGGAAAAGCTCCCTGCTTTTGGCCTGGAAAAGCAGTCGAGAATGGCTCAAAGCTCTGGGACCCTGCACCTGTGTAGGAGACCTGGAAGATGCTCCTTATTTCTGGCTTCAGATCAGCTCAGCTCTGGTCATTGTGGCCACTTGGGGAGTGAACCAGCAGATAGAAGATCTTTCTGTCTCTCCTTCTCTCTGTATATCTGATTTTCCAAGAAAAATAAGTAAACCTTAAAAACTTAAAAAAAAAATCTTTTATTTTTGTATTATTATTTTTATAGAGAGAGAAGGAGAGGCAGAGAGAAGTCTTCCATCCACTGATTCTCTTCCAAAATTGTGTCAACTGCCAGTGCTTCACCAATTTGAAGCCAGAAGCCAAGAATTTCTTCCTGGTCTCTCATGTAGGTGCAGGGTCCCAGGACTTTGGACCATCCTCTGCTGCCTTCCCAGGCCGCAAGCCGAGAACTGAATGGGAAGTAGAGCAGTTGGGAAAGGAGCCAGTGTTGATATGGAACACTAGCATTACCAAGTGTAGGATTACCTCACTACCCCACCATGCTAGCTTCAGTTTTGCTTTTTTTTTTGGGGGGGGAGGAGATGTGTTTATTTTGAAATGTAGAATTACAAAGAGGGCCACATACACAGAGGAAGAAAGAGAGACAGAGAGACTTCTTGTCTGCTGTTTTATTCAACAAATGTCCACAATGGCTGGGAATGGGCCAGGCAGCAGCTGGCAACAAGGAGTTTTTCCCAGACCCCCTGAGGTGGTGGCAAGGACCCAAACACTTGGTCCATCTTCCACTGTTTTCCCAGGTGCATGAGGTAGCAGCTGGATTGGAAGTGGGGCAGCTGAGACTCCTGTGGGATGCTGGTGTAGCAAGTTGTGGCATCTGTTTTTCAGGCAAAGACAAAGAGGCAGGGAGCAGAGGAGGCAGAGGTCCACAGCTGTCCTGCAGCCTGGGCTCACAGAGTTTCTTCACCACAGGGTCTGGGTCATCGCTTGGATTTCTGGAAACTTCCTTGTGTGAGGTTTGCTGGAATTCCTACTCCTGTCACTTAGCCTCCCCACCCCAGCCCAATCCTGTGGGTTTATTCCCCATTTTCAGGGACAGGTGCATTCCTGCAGGAAAGATGCATGTGTGGGGGAAGTGCTTTCTCTTGCTGGGGGACTGCCGGGCTGGCAGAGAGGCAGACAGGAAATGAGTGCATCTGTAACAGTGTATTTCTGTGGAGGATGGCCTTAAAGTCTTTGGGTCCCTGCACCCATAGCAGGAGACCCAGAAGCAGCCCCTGGTACCTGGCTTTGGATCTGCTCAGCTCCAGTTCACTGTGGAGTGAACCAGCAGATGGAAGATCTTTTCCTCTGCCTCCCCTTCGCTCTCTAATCTGCCTTTCCAATAAAAAGGGTATATTTTTAAATGATTACTGAGTAACCCAGGCAGCCCAGAACCCTGTCCTATGTAACTGTGACAAACACAGATAAGGCAGCAGCTCAGAGCTCCTGCCTGGGGGTTGTTGAGGGCAGAGGTGTCTCCCTGTCTGGCAGAAGCAGCTACAGAATGCAGGACCCGAGCCTGTCTCTGGTGTGCCTCTTGGTCCGGTCACCCCTTCTGGTCCAGTTTTATTCCTCAGTTGCAGTGGGGAGGAAAGAGGAGGTCTCTTATAGAGCAATGAACGTCTGCATGAATCAGTTCTCCCTTAGAAGGCAAAACTGGAACAAGGTACCTGTGTTTTGACTGGGAAGAGAGTGCTACAAAGAATGACCATGACAGGCGCTTCTTGGGGGGTGGGAGGCAGGCCGACTTCCTGGATTGTCAGCTTGTGCCCAGATAATCCAAATTGGAGGCAGGGATAAGAGGAGCAGCTTCCCAACTCTTTTCTATTAGCTCTCTCAGAGACACTTCCAGGAGCCTCATCTTTGGCCCTGATTTTCCAACTATTTTTAATTTGGGAGGGAAAAACCCACGCCTCATGTAAGGATCTACAGATAGGGAAAGCCGTGCTGCAGATTGGAGGGGAGAATTTGAAATCAGGTATGTGGACTTTGGAGCACAGCTCCATGGAACTTCAAAAAAAAAAAAAAAAAAAAAAGGATGTGTCCTTCCTCTTGGAAAGGTGGGCAGGGGAGAAGGGAGAAGCAACTTTCACGGGCCTGGAGCCTCATCACCTCCACTGGTACCATCCTGGAAGCCCAGCATCTCCTCCTGACCCCGATGCTTCTAGTCTTACGTCCAGATCATTGTTAACACAGCAGCCGGAGTGATTGTCAGGGGGGAATATCAACAGGCTCTTGTTATTTCCCCGTTTAAAACTCTTAAAACGCCCACCATCACCTGGCAGAACGTAAACCCTGTGCCACAGGTTCTTGGGCCAGGTGTATTCGGCTGCCTTTCTCTCTCCATCCCTTAGGGCGCTAGCCACATCTGCCTTTAGGATCCTGAGCTGAGCCCACTGCTCTGCAGTGCTGGGCCTCCACACCAGCTAGTCTCTCTGTAGGGACACCTTGGGGTTCATCCTGGGGGGCTCCCAACACTCCTTTCATTTGTTTCATAGTCAAGGATGATAATGAAGTGTCTTGCCTATCGCTTGTTTATTATCTGCTGGCCCCACTACACAAGCCCCCGGGGAGAAGGGCCTGTTCCAGCACTGAGCAGAGCCTGGTACACACTAGAGCTCTCAGTATTGGTAGCATAAACGAGCCTTTCAAATCCTCACAACCATCTTGGGAGGGATGGGAGAACACGGGGGTTTCAGCACTGTCTGACCAGGCAGGGGCCACCTCGCCCCTTGTACTGCGGGGATGGCCTCCCCTCCATCTTCCTCTCCCTTCTAAGCCCCCATCCCCAGGGAGGGCCAGCCGCACTTCCGGTCCCTTCGGAGAACTAGGGCGGGGGCGAGGGTGGACTCGGACCCTCCCTGAGCCCCGCCCCCGTTCAGCATCAGAAGGGGCGCCCGCAGCATCTGTAGGGAAGCGTGATAGGATCCCCGGTCCCCTGGCTCGGGACTCCCACGGTCCTCAGGGTCGAATGTGGGCGAGCCGGAGGTCCCGGTCGGGGGAGCTCCAGGAGGCCGGAGCCAGCCAGCTCCGCGAGGCAGAACCTTTCTTCCGCACGGCCTCGCTTGCCCGCCGGCAGGCTTTGGAGGAGACACCTCTCCCCACTTAACCGCCCCTCCGGCTCGGCCCGCCCCTGCCGGCGCCGTCGGGGAGGCGCGGCTTCCTGCCCGCCCCGAGTTCCGGCGGCGCCGCTCCCGGGACTGGCCACGCCGGGAGGAGCTCTCGGCCGCCCGTCTGCAGCGGCCAGCGCCGGCGGCCCGAGTCCGGGCAAGCCCGAGGCTGAGGCGGCGGGAGGCCCGAGGCCCCCGGGGCGGAGGCGCACCCCTCGTTCGTCCTCGCCGCCGCGGCGCACACGCGCGCGCTCCTCCCGCGGGACCCCGCCGGCGACCCGTAGCTCGGGCACGCGCCTGTCGCAGCCCGCAGGAAGGAGGGGTCCGGCCCGAGGCCCGGGGCGGCGGCCGCCATGGAGATGCGCTGGGCCCGGGGCCGGCGCCTGGAGCGGCCGGGGCGGCCCTGAGCGCCCTGCTGCTCGCCCCGGCCGGGTGGCCGACGTGCCCCCGGTGCGCTCTCCGCCCGCGCTGCTGCCTGGGCGCGGCGGCGGCGCCCTGTTGAATGGGCTGGGAGGGCCCCAGGTTGGAAGTGCTGGCGGACGCGGCCTCCGGGGGCGCAAGGCAGCAGCCGCGGTGGCGACCAAACGGGTGTTGGAGTTGGCGGCGGCCATGGAGGGCCTGGCTGGCTATGTGTACAAGGCGGCCAGCGAGGGCAAGGTGCTGACCCTGGCCGCCTTGCTCCTCAACCGCTCCGAGAGCGACATCCGCTACCTGCTGGGCTATGTGAGCCAGCAGGGCGGGCAGCGCTCCACGCCTCTCATCATCGCAGCCCGCAACGGGCACGCCAAGGTGGTGCGCTTGCTGTTGGAACACTACCGGGTGCAGACCCAGCAGACGGGCACCGTGCGCTTCGACGGGTAGGTAACAGCCCAGCCCCAGCCTCCCCTCTGGCCGGCGGGGTCCCTGCCCTGCTAACGCTGACCTAGGTCCTCGAGGCCTCGCTCTGCAGCCTCCTGCTGGGCTGGCTACCCTTCCTGGGCGGGGGGCGGGGGGGTGTCCTTAGCCGGTTCCCTTCGTAGGCTGCGTGGCCACACCCTCGTCTTGAAGAAACACGCGTCGTCGGCTGGACTGCACGAGCCTTGGGGGAGCAGGTGGCTGCCCTTCCAGCGTTTGCTGTCTTTCTGTCCTAGATAGCCGAGGTTAGAAAATGAGCAGCGAAGACCTGTGATAGGATTGATTCTCAGGCTATCCGATCCTTACCCACCACCCCTAACCCTGCTCCCGCCGCACCTGCTCCCCGTGCCGGGTCCCCTGCAAGCCCGCCGGTCCCAGAAAGGCAGTCCAAAGCAGCCCCCAGAACAGGCCGCAGCTGCAGCCTCTTGAGGCATCTCCTGCAGCCAGCCATCTCGATCCCGGCTTTCCCACCTTGCTGGAGTCTCCAAGGCTGGCTTCAGACAAGGCCCTGAACCTGCCATTGTTGAAGTTGCTGATTGATACCCGGGAGGGAGGCCGAGCAGGGGCTTGGCTACTTGCTGGATTTTGGAGGTTGGGGGGAGGACTTCTTGGTTAGGAGATGTGGGTCTGAGTGTACCCACGTCTGTCCTGTGGGTCTAAGTGTACTTGTTGGGGTGTCAGGAGGACCCTGGAATTGTCTGGTTCCACCGTTGCCCCTTTTCTCTGTGCCGGAGGGCCATGAGATGTCTGGCAGGTGGCAGCTGCCTAAGGGTTTTGCCTCGTCGGGGTTTGCTTTTGTTGACCTGCACCCGTAGGTGAGCCGTCTTAGCATTGTCTGCTTGAAATGGATGGGGTGTAGGCGTAAAAAGCCGCAGGTCCAGTGTGGGTGATGGAAAGCTGCCTCTAGCAAACCTGAGGGAAAAGGTAGTTCTTTCAGATGACTAGCATGGTGTGCATTCTTTCTTTCTTTTTTTTCTGTTAGAGATGACAAAATATTTTTGAGCATTACATTTTTAATGAGATGGTAGCCCGCGGTGTGGAGGCCTACCTCCCCAGCCACTTCTGTAGACATTAAGGATGTGTTGCTCTCCCCACTCCAGTTGACCAAAGATGGCAACCTGGTTGGCGGTTGTTTTCCTGGCATCTGTGCTTCCGTCATTCCCTGCATTCCTGGGCTACACCTTGAGGAGGAGGGCCATGTAATGACCCCTGACCCTGCAGGCGCCATTCCAGCTGGACAGGCTCAGGCATTCATCACGAGAGACATCTTGGCGGTAGCAGCTGCCTTGAGCTTGCCGAGGCCTAGCTGGATGAGACAGAAGAGTCTGGAAGGAACACAGTTTTCTCAAGAATTTAGACGGTCTTCGTTTGTGGCTGCTTTCCTAGATCAGTAGAGAGAAAGATGTTTTGAGTGGCAGTTACAGTCGGAAGTGACTAGAGATGTAGTACTGAGACCAGGTACTGGCTTACCTTGCCCAGTGGTCCCTAGTGACATTAAGGGGTTTACTCAGCGTCTGCGTGAGCCAGCTTCTGTGATGGATGCTGGTGTGCAGAGCTGAGTGACATAGTGTTCCTATCCTGAGGGAAAACTGCCTGGGGCAGGGAGGGTATGGAGAGAGGGTAAGATAAGAGGGGATGGATATGTCAGTGAGTAGTTGCAGGCGCCGGCTGGTTTGGACTGGAAGGAATCTTGTGGACTGGTGAGGGTGTACAAAAGGAGGGGAGTTGTCCAGCTTTCCCTGGGAGAACTCGGACAGGTGTCACCAAAGAGGTGATGTTGGATGCTGTTTTCAAGCTTGGTAGGACAAGAAGGGGAAGGGGGATGTCCCGTGGTGCAGTTAAGTGACAGGTGTTTCAGTGCTATGACAGATTCTGACTGGAAAGACTGTGGGTGACCAGAGAGAATTTGAGGGTTCTTGTCTGAAATATGGAGAAGAAGGCGGTAAAAACCGCAGTCTTCCATGCTTCCATTCTTTGCAAGTTTCACCTGAGCCTTTTCTTGCAACTGTGTATCTGTTTAGCCTCTAGATCTTTGTAATTAGGAATTTATTAGCTTCTGCGTTACAGTAGCTAGTATTTATTTATTTAATGTCTATGATGGGCACCACCCCTGGGTCAAACTTGGTAGGACAAAAAGGGTAGGGGGATGTAAGGGATATAAGGACATGGAAGGGTTCTTTTGAGGAGTTTATTCATTAATTAGTAAGAGAAAAGAACTGGATCTCATGGCCACCTTTCTACCCATTCACACCCCTTAGTGAGATTGTGCTGTAGTTTGTCACAGTCATTTTGACATATCTGAACCAGAAAGTGTTGCTTGCAAATGTGATGGTTTTCCTGTGTGCTCTTTGCAGCTGTTGTGAGAACGCCCCCTGAGTGATGCTAACCTTGGAGGTGCACTCTCCCTCCAGGAGCTGGCTGTGATGAGTGCTAGGCCTACACTGATCTCCTCAGCTCCTGTAACCTCCCAGAGGTGGGGACTGATAGCTTCCTGTGTGTGCTCCAGTAGAGTAGGGTTCTTTAGTTTTAATCACTTGTGTACCATCTTGCCAATTTTTTTTTCTTTTAAGATTTATTTATTATTTTTGTTGGAAAGTCAGATTTATAGAGAAAGGAGAGACAAAGATCTTCCATCCACTGGTTTACTCCCCAAGTGGCCACAATAGCTGGATCTGAAGCCAGGAGCCACGAGCTTCTTCCAGGTCTCCCATGTGGATGCAGGGTCCCAAGGCTTTGGACCATCCTCCATTGCTTTCCCAGACCGCAAGCAGGGAGTTGGAGGAGAAGTAGAGCAGCAGGGACATGGACTGGTGCCTGTAAGGGATCCTTGCACATTCTGGGCAAGGATTTAGCCATAAGACTGTCATGCCAGCCCCTTTCCCAATGTTTTGACTGAATTATTCACCATCTGCTTTGCTATCAACTTTTAATATCTTTTTAAAAAATGTTATTATTACTCATATACATCTTTAGACTGTATTAGTTCTTTCCTGTGACCCATTATCTGTGCCATTTCATGTACTAAGTTGCATAGACTTTTCACTGCACACATGTGAGCCAAAGAGGGAGACAGATGTTACAATAAATATCAAGCAATTAAAAATATGTGTTCTGCCTAAACCTTTTATAATGCTTTAGGTGACTAGAGTAAACTGATGATACAGCCTCAAGTGGGGAGGGGATCACCCTTCTGGATGGAGCTCTGAAGATGATTGAGCCTGGTGCACAGTTCTGGGAGTGTATATTTGAGATTATTTTACAATGACTTAGCATGTAGACACAAGATGGATGTGAATGGAGTATAGGAAACTGTTCAAGAAAATTATAGACATGGGGGAGACATGGTGGTGCAGTGGGTTAAGCTGCCGATCAGCATGCCTGCATTTCATTTCAGGTTGGCTGTGGTGGAGTCCTGCCTCTGCTTCTGATCCATCCTGGTAATACTAACCCTGAGAGGCAGCAGTTGATGACTCAGCTCCCCGAGCCCCTGTCACCCACAGGGGAAAGCTGGATGATGTTGCTGGCTCCTGGTTTTGTCATAGCACAGCCCTTGCTGTTGTGGGCATTTGGGGAGTGAGCCAGAAGGTAGAAGGTATTTTTCCTGTCTCTGTTGCTATGATTTTATTATACATATATTAAAAATTTATTTGAGAGGCAGATTTTACAGAAAGAGAGAGGAGTTTTCCATTCACCGATTTGTTCCCCAAATGGCTGGAGCTGAGCTGATCTGAAGCAAGGAGCTTCTTTCCATCTCCCATGTGGGTGCAGGGTCCCAAGGACTTGGGCCATCCTCTACTGCTTTCCCAGTCCACAAGCAGGGAGCTCGATGGGAAGTGGAGCAGCTGGGACAGGAACTGACACCCATATGGGATGCGGGGGCTGCAAATGGAGGATTAACCTCTTACACCATCGCATTGGCCCCTAATATATTTTTTAAAGATAAACAGAAACGTTAAAAGAATGTTCTGGAAATGGAACAGAGCAAAGGGGAGGTGTCCTGTGTCCAAAGACCTGATTGCTTGGTGTCAGTTTGTGGGGACTAACTGTCCTGGAGGATTTGCCCACGTCTGAGAATTCCGACGGGTCTTTCACAGTCGGCGCTGGTGCCCGTGTTGTCAGCACACGTCCTGAAGAGCTCCTCCATCACGTGGCTTCATCCAAAGCCAGCAGCGATGTAGTAAGGAGCTTCATTCGATCTGATAAATGATTTTAAAAGTTCTGATCAAATAGTGCCGATCAGTTACATTCAGTGAATTTTCTTTCCATTTAAAATGCATTTCTGTTTCAAATTGGATCCAGAAGTAAATGAGCTTGACCTTGTATTTAGTGTTCTCTCATCATGAACCTTCCCGTCATCTGATAGATATCTATTTTTAAGATTTATTTATTTTTATTGGAAAGGCAGATGTACAGAGAGAAGGAGAGACAGAAGTCTTCCATCTGCTGGTTCACTTCCCAAATGGACACAGTGTCCAGAGCTGAGCCAGTCCAAAGCTGAGCTGACCGGAAGCCAGGAGACAGAAGTCTTTGAGTTGCCCATATGGGTGCAAGGTCCCAAGGCTTTGGACCATCCTGTGCTGCCTTCCCAGGCCATAGCCAGGGAACTGGGTCTGAAGTGGAGCTGCTGGACACGAACTGGTGCCCTGGTGGGAAGCCAGTGCTTACAGGTAGAGGATTAACCTGTTGAGTTGCCCACTGGCCCTGTATGTTTTGCTTGAAAAGGTGGCTGTCTCATAAAATGTACTAGAATTAGCATCTGGTTTTGGACTGAATCTGGAAGGAGTGTTCTACACTATTTCTCCTTTAGGAACTTAGTGAATATTGTATTAATTTGATTACATTTTATGTTAAAATGCACAGTGTTTTGTTCTATGGCATCATTTTAGCTAGATTTTATGGATGTAGGAATGTGTTTGGTGTTAGGGTAATTCCTTTGAATCTGCTTAGTGTTTTGGTTGCAGTGTAGATGTTCTGAATTCACCAAGAGTAATGAATCTGAGGAACTGGCTGTCTTACCCTAGCAGAATCCCTGAGGCAGGTGTTACTTTGGCTCGTGGTTCTGAAGGGTCACAGTTCAAGATTGGCTGGGCCTGTGGGTTTGGCCTCTGATGCTGGGGTTCTTACTGACAGCTCCAAGCTGGTGCAGGGCAGTATGTGACAAGGGAGAGCAGGTGTGTGTCTCTGTGTGTGTGACCCTTTTCCTCCCTATTAATGCCACCAGAATTCCATTATGAAGGCTCCACCCTAGGGACTCAGATCAGTCTAATTAGTTCCCTAAAGTCCCGCCTCTAAACCGTGATCTGCACCGCTGCCATGGATTTAGTGTTAAAGCACTGTCTGAGTTGAGGCCAGATCATACACCAAATAGCAGCAGTAGCCATCTTATACATTTGCAATGAATTTTTGAAAAAGATTTATGTATTTATTAGAAGGGCATAGTGATACAGTGAGAGAGATCAATCTTTTTTTTTTTAATATTTGTTTGTTTTTATTGCAAAGTCAGATATACAGAGAGGAGGAGAGACAGAGAGAGAGGAAGATCTTCTGTCTGATCATTCACTCCTCAAGTAACCACAACGGTTGGTGCTGTGCCGATCTGAAGCCAGAAGCCAGGAACTTCCTCCAGGTCTCCCACGTAGGTGCAGGGTCCCAAGGCTTTGGGCCGTTCTTGACTGCCTTCCCAGGCCAAAGCAGGGAGCTGGATGGGAAGTGAAGCTGCCGAGATTAGAACCGGCACCCATATGGGATCTCACACATTCAAAGCAAGGACTTTAGCTGCTAGGCCACCGCGCTGGGTCCAAGAGAGATAAATCTTTGACTTGCTTGATTATTCCCCAAATGCCCACAACAGCTGGAGTTGGAGCCAGGAGCTTGCTGTGGACTTCGTGTGTATGGAAGGAACCCAAGCACCTGGGCCATCGTCTCTGGTCAGGCACATTAGCAGGAAATGGGATCCGAAGTGGGGAGTGACGGACACCAGAACCAGTAAAGGTTGAGGTATCTCTGGCAGGGACTTAGCATGCTGCACTGCACTGACCGACCCATGGGTACCTATTTTAATGTTGCATTTCTTCAGTTTTAGGTAGCTTAGCTTCACATTTCTGGCATATGATAATTGCATAATTTAAAAAACAGTACAAAGAAACATTATCATTAATCATGTAAATGTAACTACATATTAACTATGTATTTTTTGATAGATTATTAGCTTGACAAAATGCTATTTTCACTAAACAAAATGGAACAATGTTATACTGTGTTCTAATTTGATGCCTTTTGTGGTATTCAGAATGTGTTGGTACACAGTCAGCTGTCTGAGATGGACAGTGTCTGATGGGTTCTACAGGCTGAGGGTGAGAGGAGACAAGACAGGGCTTAGATGCTCAAAGTGAGGAAACTATTTGTGTTTATTTTTTTTTTTTTTGTGCATGTGTGTGTTTCAAAGCCTCTTTGATGTTTTGTACATAGTGTGAAGTAGGAATCAAAGCCAGTTATTTTCCATTCAGATTGTCTTGCTGCTCCAGCTGGTGTGAAAGAGCGTGTGTGAACGTCTACCTGAATTTCACTGGAGCCTTTGTCATAAATCAAATTATTCTCATAAATCAAATTATTCTCTTGGTAAAACTTGGTGTCTTAATTACTGTGGTTTGTCCTCCGACTTTTGCTTTGCCTCAGTATTCATTCTGTTTGTTTACATTTTCATGTACTTTCTAGAATTGTCCTGAACATGCTTTCACAGGTGCTTATGTGCACCTACCAAACATACATGCCACACAGTCTCCTGGGATTTTGATTTGTATTTTATTTATCCTTTTAGGGAAGAATTGGCCTCTTTATAGTATGGAGTCTTCTGAACTATGAGTATGGAATATTTCTCCATTTGTTCAGGCTTTATTTATTTATTTATTTATTTATTTTAAGATTTATTTTATTTTTTCATTGGAAAGGCGGATATACAGAGAGGAGAGACAGAGAGGAAGATCCTCCATCCGATGACTCACTCCCCAAGTGAGCACAACAGCCGATACCATGCCGATCCGAAGCCAGGAGCCTCTTCTGGGCCTCCCACGCGGGTGCAGGGTCCCAAAGCTTTGGGCCGTCCTCGACTGCCCTCCTAGGCCACAGGCAGGGAGCTGGAAGGGAAGCGGGGCTGCCGGGATTAGAACCGGCGCCCACATGGGATCCCGGGCGCGCAAGGCGAGGACCCTCAACCACCTGCGCCACCGCGCCGGGCCCTGTTCAGGCTTTATGTCAGGAGTGCTTTTGCAATTTTCAATGTAGAAGTCAACATTTATTTTTATTTTATTGGAAAGGCAGATGTACAGAGAGAAGGAGAGACAAAGATCTTTAGTCAGCTGATTCACTCTCCAAGTGGCTGCAATGCCCGATCCGATGCGAGGGGCCAGGAGCTGCTTCTGGGTCTCCCATGCAGATGCAGGGTCCTAAGGTTTTGGGCCGTCCTTGACTGCTTCCCAGGCCACATGCGGGGAGCTGGATGGGAAGTGGGCAGCTCATACACAAACCTGTATCCACATGGGGTCCTGGTACATGTTAAGCGAGGATTTAGCCATCAGGCTACAGTGTTGTGCCCAGTGTTCTGATTTTTTTTTAAAACAGATTTTTTTTTTTTTTTTTAATTTGAAAGGCAGAGTTAGAGAGTGAGGAAAATAAGAAAGGAGAGATCTCATTCATCTGCCTGGTTCCTTTCTTAAGTGGCCACAGTGGCCAGGGCTGGGCTAAGCTGGAGCTGGAAGCTTGGGACTCCATCTGGGTCTCTTTCCTCCTTGTAAGTGCCTGGGTACTCAGGCTTTCCTAGCACATTAACGGGAAGCTGGAATGAGGAATGAACCAGCCTACTTATGGGATGCCAGTGTGGTGCTGACAGCTTAACCTGCTGCGCCATTGCACTGGGCCCTTCTAGTTTTTTTTTTTTTAAGTGCTTCTTAAATAAAGTAAAATGCATGTATGTGAAGTATATAGTTTTATGAAAAAATATTTCCCTGGAATACCGATGCCTGTGGCCACCAGCTGATTGGCACAGGATCTGGTACCTTCAAGTCTGTCAGTACTGTCACCTCCATCCACAAGTCACCACTGTTGCTGAGAAAGTTTTTGCTTGTAAATATTTTGTTGTTATTTTAAATGGAAGGAAGTAATCACTTGAATTACTATACGGCAAGAGTTTTATTTGCAGCAGAAAGGGAGGTGTTATTTCTGTGTGTTGTTCTCTGGAATCAAACTTGTTTATGTCAGTGTATTTTGTGCTGCTATAGCAAAATATTTGAGACTGGGTAATTGAGAAAGTAATTCATTTCTCACAGTACTGGAGACTAGCCCAAGATTAAGTTGCCTGTAAGTTTGGGTGTCGTATGAGGCCTGTGTCTCTTCTGGCAGGGAGCAGAAGGGTCTTGATTCACAAAGGGCCGAGCCCTCTGGCCTCTGTCGCCTCATAAAGGTCCCACCTCCTAGTACTGTCACATCTCCAGATTGAATTGTGGAGGGAACATGTTCAGATCACAGCACTAGGAGAATTGTTCTTTTTTCGCAGAGAATTGGCCCTGTGTTAGAGCATAACGTGGATGGGAGCAGTTCAGTAGTGAGGTTCTTGGTATATAGACTGGATTATGCTGGTGAATATTGCTTTCGTCAGCTTTTTCCCTTACTATTATTGGTTCTAGCATAACATCTAAATATGTCTAATAAAAATCTGCTTTTCAGGCCTTTTGGTAAGTACTAGGATGGAAATGAGTTGAGACTGGGGAAAATTGAAAGTGGAATGATGCGAGGCTCATTTTGTACGTGAAGTAGAGAACCTAGAAGGTAACGAATGTTCAGTGAGTGGTGAATGTGGATTCCTCAAGTCAGCCCTCTGGGGAGGCACCTGCTTGGTTTTCTGAAAATGTTCCTTGCTTCCTGATGTTGGTAGTTTTTTTTTTCTCATTTAGTTGAACACATAGAATGTAAATACACGCATAGTTTTAAATCATTAATATATCTAGAGACAAATTTAGCAGCTTTTACAAGATGAATATAATGGGCTGAGTGTGCTACTCCCATTTACTACCAGCCTCTGCCAGTGCATTAGCTTGTTGATAAAGAAGTTCTAAACCTCCTTTTATTTCTTCTGTGTTTTCTGGTGATTCTTTGTATTTTTTTTTCTTCAGAGTTATGTATGGCAATAATAATAGCTAGCCCTAACCTTAACCCTCACCTTAACTCTAACCACAACTTTAGCCATAGCCCTAATTATAACCTTAGCCCTTGGCCTAGTCCTGATCTTAAAGTTAATGATAACCCTAACCCTACCTCAACCCTAGTCGTGGCACTGACCCTAACCCAGGTCCTGTCTTTAAGTCTAGCCTTACTCTATCACTTAACACTAGCCCTATCCTTACTCTAGCCCTAATGCTCCCTTGAACATAACTGTAACCGAGTCTAACCCTAATCCTACTAGGAACAAGTGCCATGCAAAGTGCTTTTTGAACTATGTCTTTATTTTCACAGAATCTTGTCTTTTAATGTGCTAGAGAGTGAGACTTTGGTTGATTCAGGAAGTGTATCCTTTGAACTTAAGGCGCGTGGGTGGCTGCCATTATGTAATGGTGTGCTGTTTCCGTACGCAGGTATGTCATCGATGGCGCCACTGCTCTTTGGTGTGCTGCGGGAGCTGGGCACTTTGAGGTTGTTAAGCTTCTGGTCAGTCACGGGGCGAACGTGAACCACACCACCGTCACCAACTCGACCCCCCTACGGGCAGCGTGCTTTGACGGCAGACTGGATATTGTGAAATACTTAGTTGAAAATAATGCCAACATCAGCATTGCCAACAAGTACGACAACACCTGCCTGATGATTGCAGCATATAAGGGACACACTGACGTGGTCAGATACCTTTTAGAACAACGGGCTGACCCCAATGCTAAAGCACACTGTGGAGCCACAGCATTGCATTTTGCGGCTGAAGCTGGCCACATAGACATCGTCAAAGAGCTGATCAAATGGCGCGCCGCTATCGTTGTGAATGGCCACGGAATGACACCCCTGAAGGTAGCTGCGGAGAGCTGTAAAGCTGATGTTGTTGAACTTTTGCTCTCTCATGCTGATTGCGACCGAAGAAGTCGGATTGAAGCTTTGGAACTCTTGGGTGCCTCCTTTGCCAATGACCGTGAGAACTATGATATCATGAAGACATACCACTATTTGTACTTAGCTATGCTGGAGAGGTTTCAAGGTGATAGCATCCTTGAGAAGGAGGTTCTGCCACCCATCCACGCTTACGGGAACAGAACTGAGTGTAGGAATCCTCAGGAGCTGGAAGCCATCCGGCAGGACAGAGATGCTCTTCACATGGAAGGCCTTATAGTTCGGGAGCGGATTTTAGGTGCTGACAACATCGATGTTTCGCACCCCATCATTTACAGAGGGGCTGTCTATGCGGATAACATGGAATTCGAACAGTGTATCAAGTTGTGGCTGCACGCCCTGCACCTTAGGCAGAAAGGCAACAGGAACACCCACAAGGATCTGCTTCGATTTGCTCAAGTTTTCTCACAGATGATCCATTTGAATGAGACTGTGAAGGCCCCCGACATCGAATGTGTTCTGAGATGTAGCGTTTTAGAAATAGAGCAGAGCATGAACAGAGTAAAGAATGTCTCAGATGCCGACGTCCACAACGCCATGGACAATTACGAATGTAATCTCTACACCTTTCTGTATTTAGTGTGCATCTCCACCAAAACGCAGTGCAGCGAAGAAGATCAGTGCAAAATTAACAAGCAGATCTACAACCTGATTCACCTGGACCCCAGAACTCGGGAAGGCTTCTCCTTGCTGCATCTTGCCGTCAACTCCAATACCCCGGTGGACGATTTCCACACCAACGATGTCTGCAGCTTCCCCAACGCGCTTGTCACCAAGCTGCTGCTGGACTGTGGCGCCGAGGTGAACGCGGTGGACAATGAGGGGAACAGCGCCCTGCACATCATCGTCCAGTACAACAGGCCCATCAGTGATTTTTTGACCTTGCACTCAATCATCATCAGCCTAGTGGAAGCTGGCGCTCACACCGACATGACAAATAAACAGAATAAGACTCCGCTCGACAAAAGTACCACGGGGGTCTCGGAAATACTGCTTAAAACTCAGATGAAGATGAGCCTGAAGTGCCTGGCTGCCCGAGCAGTTCGGGCTAATGACATTAACTACCAAGACCAGATCCCCAGAACTCTTGAAGAGTTTGTTGGATTCCATTAAGTGACTGGATATGTAAAATCGTTTAATGTGGTGCTAAAAAGTAAAGGACTTTAATCACAGACAATAGAATTATGTGTTCATAAATTCCGCTTTTCTTTCCACTACCCTTCCTCCCAACCCAGCCTTCCTTAGTTCTGTATTTGTTCTTCTTGCCTCCTATGGGAATCGATTTCAAACACACTTCAAACAAAGCCACATTGTTTAGGTGTAATTAAGAGTTTGAGGTCTTTGGATGTTGGTCACCTAGCAATTTGTTATTTTTGTTTTTCTTCTTTGAAGTAACGAATATAAAATATATTGTTTGTGTAGCAAGGGACATTTATGATTTCAAGTTGGTGATGTTTAAACAGCTGCCTACACAGTATTTGTGTTAAGCTGGTGTCGGCGTGTTTTCCATGCAGCAGTTTTGAGGATCTTGTGAAGAGAAAGAAACACAGAAGAACGTTGAAAGTAGTGGGATTGTCCAGGTGTCCTGCACGTGCCAAGCTGCTGTGGGTAGCTGTCACTCTGCCATTGTCTCTGTGGAGTGGTACAACCCGTGTTACCATCGGGAGGATTGAAAAAAAAAAAAAAAAAAAGAAAACACAGCTGCAGATTAATTTGAACAATGTGCTACTTTAATAACAGTTGCAAATGTATATTAAATCCTTTGAAATTATTGTATTTTTGTGACTACTATATACAAAGTGATAGTAATCTTAAAAGCCAATTTTTCAGAGAATACTGATGAACTCTTTGCCTTTAGTGCAAATTCTTCCAAGCCTGTTTCAATGAAATTGATCTAAATTGCAGCAGTCTGCATTTGATTCACTTTATGGACATGTAAAAATTATGAATTCTGTGTTTTTGTATGCTCCAAATTGTCACAAGATGGTTACACTTTCTATTTCCTTTTTTCCCTTCCCTCTTGTGTTGTGTCTTTCACAATGTGGAAAACTCCTTTTCCAGAGGGCATCATTTTTGCCTCCCTAATAAGGTGTTTGTGACAGATGAAAAGGAACCAGGATATTTTTGATTTTTTTTTTTTTAGTCTTTCTTAGTCTGTGAAAAGAAGTAGAAAAGCAAGAAAATTACTAGTGTGGTCTAGGAAATAGAATGTTTTTGAGGATGAAGGTAATTCTTACTTCCACTTGAAAGGGATTTTTTTTTTGTCAGAACTGCAAATTTTTCAGCCACCCAATGTTCCCTATTCTGACAGCTCTACAGAAGTCTTTATGATTTTGTTTTGTTTTGTTCTGTTTTATTGGCAACATTTTAACTGTCAGATACTGAAAGTATTCTGTGGTTATCTTTTCAGCATCACAGAAATTCAAGTAAAGGGTACACATCTCTTTCTCTTGATGTTAAAAATGATAAAGTAAAATTAGCTGTATCTGTAATTTTCTCTCTAGTGCCAAATGAATGCCTTAGCTACTCATAGTGCATGGTACTTACTGTAAGTGAAGACCTGCAGCTTTCTTTTCCCTTAATGAAAAACATTATAATGATGTAGATACATCAGATATACACTTAGACAAACCGATAAGGTTTCAGTCGACATATTGTGTATGGTTATTGCTTTGTCAAATCTAAGAGGAAAGTTGCAGTTGGATCAGTGTAAAACAATGACCAAGCCAAAATCAGCACCTAGGGCCTTAAATACAATGGAGACACCCTGCGGAAAGGAGTGCTTGGAAGGATGGGAGGAGATGGAGGGGTTTAACAACTTCTCCCCTCCAGGATGCAAGATACTTTTATTGCTGCTGTAGTTTACACTTTTGAGTGTTGTCTTGCTTCAGTTAGGGAATGTTTTAATGAGAAATTCTGTCCTGTTGATAGATATATGATTTCCTAACATGAGATTTTTTAAGAAAGATTTTTTGGGGATGGCTTAAAGAAGGTATTTGAGCCCTAATTTGAAAATTACCGATCTGAATTCTACTGGTATGAGTCAAGGAAAAACTTGTACCGTGCTCTTGACAGCTTTCAGTGGCCTGAAAGAGAAAATGCACTTCCTCCTCCAGGTGAGTGGCTCATACCTCCTCCATGGCTGCGCTCAGACCCTCTGTCCTTCACACCACAAGGCCTGCCCAGTGGACAGTCTGAGGAATCGCTACAAGACTTGGTATTCAGTTGGTTCCATTCTTAATGTGTATGATTTTTGAAACACCAACCTTGAAATATCAGATAATGTGGCATGTTTTAAAAACACATTTCATCCTTTTGGCAACCCAAGACCAGCGCTATTTAAGACATTGCTTACACAATGAAGAGACTGATTATGTACATATTCAGACATCAACATTTAATGTCAGTGTCATCGAGAAGGGAAGACTATGCTAGAGAAAGTCAAACGGTGCCGACTGGAATGCTGACAAAGTTGGAGAAAGAATTTGAGAGTGAAATAGATATGAACTGTGCTCATGGTAACTAGATTTTTTTTTTAAATTATAGTATAGTAGTACATTGTGAGTTATCTTGCTGAGGATCTGTCTTGTAAAATCAATGTGTTTTGTGAAGCACCTGTATAAAACCATTCTTGAAGCAAGTTACCTACATGCCTGTTTTTTAAATTTTGGGGGGGTAGAGTTATTTAAAGGTGTGTTTAGCTAAACCCTTCCCCAACTTAGTATTTTTTGTTTGTTGTTTTAAAAGGAAAATAGATGATAAAGGTGATAGTTCTACATCTCGGCTCACTGAGAGCCCTAGGCTGTGTGTGTCGTGCAGCCACTTGGGTTTTTTGACTTTGATTATTGGTAAGATCTGCTCTGAACAGAGAGCAGTCTGGGTTCCCTGAGGACTTCTGCAGATCCTGATGAGCTAGAGGCCTGGGTGGATGCTTTGTATTTGCAGATCTTGACTTAGTGGACTTTAGACTCGTAATGGAGTTGGAGTTAAAATAACTCAAGGAGTGTTCAACAAGTCCGCTCACTTCCTTGATGCCGAGGAACCGAAGAACCGATGCTGACAACCTTTACGTTGACTCAGTCCACCCTGGCTTGCTCTAGTAGGGCCACAGCCCACATACCTAAGGTCCTTTGCTGTGGAAACTTACAAACAGATAAACTAAAAAACAGCTTCTCTGCAGACTGTGGTCTTTCTCCTGAGGGGTTCATTTCGCTGATTACAGTGACTGCGAACAGTGAGACCGTAGCTCGGTGTAAGGCACTGAAGTGAGGTGGGATGGGCCAGCCGCTCCCCGCTGCCGTCTGTTTGGTGGTTTTGAAAGTCAGTGTTTCCAGGGAGCTGCAGCCCTGTAGGTTTCCACTGTAGTGAGGCAGCTTACTTTCTGAATGAGACCACTTCGGCTAATTGAACCTGAAGCATTTTTTGTGGGGCAGGGGATTGGGGGGGTGCAGATGGATGTGCTATACCTGGGATGAATTACCGTTTGCTGGTTTAGAAGCAGCCGGCAGTTGAACTAGTGAGTAGATGAAAGAAAGTGTAACGGGCTTGTTTTCATGATCGTTTTTCTGTGAAAACCTTTACTGTTCCTCTTCAGAGTAGCCAGCTGTGTTAATGCCCACCCAGTTGGCTAGTCTGTTTTCCTCACTGATTCTACTCTAACACCGAAAGGGGTTAAAGAAAACCAAACTTTGCCTTTTTCGCTCTGTGAGAAGGTTTTAGTCCAGAAGATTGTCAGCATCTCCCTTGGAGATGTGCAGCTGTATTCTGGACAGCACCTCATTGTGTGTGTCACATTGCAGCACTCTCACCTGTTTCTGGCAGACTTGCCCACAGTCCCATGGGCTGGCTTGTACAGCGTCCGCTCCCCCAGATACAGGATCTGAAATAAATACTGCGTTGATAGTGGTGATATGTTCATTTTTTGAAACTGTAAAGTAAATGTGGTCTCTAGTCCTAGGTTTGTGCTGTGTACTTTTGTGTTACTGTGTAGAGCAGGGGCAGTGACTTGAAGGCTATGGGGCATGGGTCTTGCTGTGTGTGCAGGGGCGAGCACTGCTGAAGTACTAACAGCTTTTCATTTGGAGGTGATCATGGGATGGGTGGCCTAACCAGAAAAATGACAGAGTGACGAAGCAAGATTGCCAAGTGATGACACGGACAAGGGTCTGTATCTATTTTTTTAATACAGTGTTGTAAAATTTGTGCATGGCTTTTTTCATTGTTGCTTAGTAATTGGAGAGGAAAACAACAACGAAAACCCTCCGCTTTCCTAACCAATCTTTGCAGGGGTACGTCACTGGGGAGTAGAGGATGACGCCTAAGCTATTGGTTGGAAGCATCTGTCCCTGATAAGCTCCGCCCCACCCAGCAGTCCTCTGTGGGTGTACTTCACTGTGAATTATAGCAAGCCAGTGATGTCCTTCAATTGTGTACTTTTGTCAACTCATTTATGTGACTTTAATAAAATAGTGAAACTTGCTGACTGCGCCAGAGGTCTGTTAGTGATTTGTATTATTGCATGGCATTTCTTTTTTGTTTTTTTTTTTTTTTTCTATTTGAGTTTGACAAGTAGAATAATTTTTAAGTTCGTGGCAATTGACAGTCCTAATAATTGCTCAACTAATTTGGAACTAACAATCTTGCTGTATAAAAGCAAAAATATGGTGTTTGTGTTTAGTAAATGTTTGAAAAAAGAAAAACCACCTTGTAGTTTGTGTCTTTATTGTTCGTTCATTGTGCCTAAGTTGAGATCATCTTTTGTTAGTTCATTAAGAAGGAGTTCTTGGAGTTATACATGGGCATGGAAGAGATTTCAGATAGTAAAGAAAATTCAAATAATTGTCTCCACTTCCTCTTTGCGCTGTGCGGAGGCGGTGGGCAGCTTTGGTGTGATTTCTGCTAAGGTGCAAGTGCACTTAGGGCGTTCAGGCATTTTAGGCATTTTTTTTTTTCACTTCCACATGTGCAAATTTAAAAAAAGAAAAAAATAACTTCATGGCATCTAGCTGGATTGTCTTTTTTTTTTTTTTTTCTTTGCTGCCTGAAACTGACCTGTGTGAACATCCTTCAACATGACTTGGCATAGAACAGTTTCACTCCAACACTGGAACTTCTGGGTTAGTGACTGGCATTTCAAGTCTGGACAGAGGTGATCCGGTTGCCTTCATGCCTCCTCCCCCATGCGTTTGTTAGCATCAGATATTAGCTGGTTGTTTAGTCCTTGTCAGTGATTAGTGGAAAGTGGTATCTTGTGGTTTTGCTTTGTGTACTTTGCATTATGAGTGAAGTGGAACACTAGATAACTCCCTGTTTTATCTACCACAGTTTCTTTGTGGCACACATCTCACTCCTGGTCAGAAGTTTCTAGGAAGTTCAAGGAGATTTTATCATGTAACAGTTTGTAGTTATTCTTAACCTGAAGTGTAGTTTATATATAAGAAGTGTAAACATTTATAAAAAGTTGATTTTATTTTGTTTCATATCCTGCTTTGTAAGGTTGTCTCCACTTAAACATCAAAACGTGTTTTTCATCATTCTTGTTTTTAAACTTGGGAAACATTTTATGGCTCCCTCCTCCCCCCTGCCCTTTTTTTTAAAGGCAGATATACAGATTACACAGAGAGAAAATAGAGAAAGATCCTCTGTCTGCTGACTCACCTCCCAAGTAGCTGCAGCAGCTGAAGCCAAGCTGATCTGAAGCTAGGAACCAGGGGCTTCTTCCAGGTCTCTCACACTGGTGCAGGGTCCCAAGGCTTTGGGCCATATTCTACTGCTTTCACATGCCACAAGCAGGGAGTTGGGTGGGAAGTGGAGCAGCCAGGACACAAACCAGTGCTGTTATGGGATCCTGGCCATGCAAGATGAAGATTTAGCCACTGAGCCATTGTGCCAGGCCCCCCTTTACCTCTTCATTTGTGGTAGTCACACCTGTTTTATTGTTTTCCAAAGTGCAGTGGTTACAAGATTGCCAGGAAGGCATTAAATGGTGGTTTTGGAGCCCATGCTTGGTACTTGAGTTTGAATTTAGGTTTGGGATGGCCATGCTAGCTTCTGTTGTGTTCACTGTATGGTGTAACCCTCATGTTACTCTGGACCAGAATGAAGGGATTTGTCTTTCCAGGTCCACACAAGGATTGCTTGTGTTTGCTTATCAGAGCTTGGAGCATGCCATGGATTGACACCCAGAGTGTGCCCTTACTGCCTGGCTGTAGTCTGCAGCCCCCCTTCCAGGTCAGCCAGCCTAGCTTCATCTTCTGTGTGAGAGCAGTACCTTGGTGCTGGCCCCAGGCTTTCTGGCTTTTTTATCCACAGAAATAGACAAGAGGCCCATGTGCTACTCAAACTGTTGGCACCCTGTGCCTGTGCTCACCCAGGGGAGCTGGGCAGGGGCTGGTGTCAGCAGGGGAGGGGAGTGGTGGTTCTCCTTGGGGCATGGCCTGGAAATATCTGCCGCTCTTCCCTGCCTCCCAACAGGTATTTGGCTTCACCCAGGTTGCTTCTGTGCAGGCTTGGTTCCTTTTACACATTACGTTCTCAGAGTGGCAGTTCAGCTAACTGCTGTCACCCTAGGAGTGACCTACCTCTTATCAGGCTATTCTGGGCATGTGTACGCTGGGGAAATCCCTCACAAGGCAGTGTGGACCTTTTGCAGTTAGGGTCTGGATGTGCTTGGTTCTGGAGGATTTGAAGCTGTGCATGGTTACATGTCTTGGGATGCGGTGGGGACCAGAATTCATCTCTCTCTCTCTCATGTTTGTTTATTTGTTTGAAACATAGAATTAAGAAGAGGGAGATACACACACACACCTCTTCCATCCCAATTCACTTCCCAAATGCCTGCAGCAACCAGGGCTAGATCTGGCCAGGAAAAAGCCAAGAGCTTCACCTGAGTCTCACTTGTGAGGGCTAGACCCCAAACACTTAGTCCATCCATCTTCTGCTGTTTTCCCATGCTCATTAGCAGGGAGCTGGATCAGAAGTGGAGAACTCAAGACTTGAATCAGTGCCTATGCAGAATGCTGATGTCACAGGCAGCAGATAAACTCACTGCACCACAGTGCTAACACCCCTGAGTCTTATTTCTTTCCTGTCTCAAGATGACTAAAGAAAATGTGGGGCATAGCATATTTCTGCAGATACTTGATTCAGAAAATTCTGGTATAAGAGGTATAAATTTCAAGTGTTTCACAAAACCTTAGCCTGTTGGCTATTTTTAGTTACAATTACATTTGCAAATTTGGGTTTTTAAAATTTGATGTATTCATTCCCCCAGAGAGGACACTGGGGTTTTTCTCTTGCCTCAACTAATGGGAACAAACTTGGAGATCACCGATTTGGTGGGCACTTGTGTCCCTGGCAGTGAATGAGGTGTACGCATCAGAAGAAAGATGATCCTTGCCCATAAGAAGTTTGTCACCCTACTGGATGGTCATATTGAAACCCAATTTTCTATTTTTTTGGGGGGCGGGTCAAATTTAAATTTCCCAAGGAAACATGTTGTTGTTTTTCTGGACTCAGGTCTCAGTCACCTTCTGGAAACATTTCAGAGAACTGTACTATTATAATAATATAGGGGAAATCAGTGGGGGAGGGAGGGTTTCGAGAGAGGATAAGGGAATCCTAGAGCCCATAGAACTGTACAATAAAATAATAATGATGATAATAATAAGTAGGTCTTTAGCTTGCAGCCTATTTGAGCCTGCTGAACTGGCTGGGTACAGTTGAATCCGAGTCCTGATGGATGTTTCAGAGCTCAGGCATGAGGCCGTTAGCAGGTTAGCTGTCTCTTGTTGCTGTACCCGCAAAGCTTGAGTGTTGGCGTTTCAGTTGCTTTCAGAACATGCTGTCCCACTTGAGCGTCATGCCAAAAGTAATGGGCTTGCCAGTGACGCAAAAGCACTCAGCAAATTCTATTGTGGTCAGCTTGGCTTGACTGCCCTTTGAGGAGCCACAAGTCAATGTGACTATGATTTTTCAATCTTCTTCCCCCCACTTCTTTTTTTAAGATTTATTTGTTTTTATTGAAAAGACATATTTATTGAGAGAAAGAGATACAGAAAGATTTTCTATCCACTGGTTCAATCCCCATGTGGTTGTAATAGCTGAAGCTGAGTCAATCTGAAGCCAGAAGCCAGGAGCTTCCTCTAGGTCTCTTGTGCAGGTGCAGGGTCCCAAGGTTTTGAGACTTTCTCCACTGCTTTCCCAGGCCACAGGCAGGAAGCTAGAAGAGAAGCAAAGCAGCTGGGGCACAAACCGGCAACCATAGGGAACCCTCACCCTTGCAAGATGAGGATTTGAACACTGAGTCATCATGTTGGGCCTGGTTTTTGAATCTTTTAAGCACTATAGGAAGTAATGAAGACTGGAGGGCTGGTAGTGTGTTAGCTGCAGGTAGCAGCAGAGGTCAGGGTGATGCAGAACGAAAATGGGTCATTCAGCCCGGGCACAGCTAGGGGATGGAGGCAGCGGGCCTCCTCTTGTTTGGGGTGAGGCGTGGTTGCAGTGAGTCAGCGTGCCAGGAAGGAGCATGGTGAAGCCTGCTGTTTTTACTGCAGCACCCTCACCTCCAGGGCTGGAAGCCAGGGACACTGGCTCCTTGTGTCTTGTCTTGGGACAGTGTGGCACTAGAAGACACTCTTGATTACAAGGGTGCTTCAGAAAGCAATTGAAAAAAAGTGGATTTAAAAAGATGTTTGTTTTGGTGCAAAAACATTTCATCACATCCATGCCTGGTTGTTTCCTAATACACTGTTTTCACAAACTTTTTGAAAATTGCATGGATTTCATCTTTTTTCTTAAAACCAAAATGAACTTTTAATTTCTTAGCCCACAGATGTTTTCAAGGCCCATTGACCTTCTGGAGGTGGCAGTTTATCTTGCAGAGACCTCCAAGAGGGGTCCCTAGAAGCTCCCAGAAATTCCCCCCACATCCCCAAGTTCTACTTCTCTGCTGCGTTCACATGAGCATTTAGTCCCTCCACCTGGATACTTGTCTAATTTAAGAAAAACCACCATCCCTGAGGCCAGCATGGTGACCTAGCACACTAATCCTCTGCCTGTGATATCGGCATCCTATTTGAGCACTGGTTTGTGTCTTGGCTGTTCCATTTCCGATCCAGCCCCCTTGCTTATGGCCTGGGGAAGCAGTGGAAAATGGTTCAAAGCCTTGGGTCCTTGCGCTCATGTGGGAAGCTTCCTTGCCTGGCAGCTCCTGGCTTTGGATCGGCTTAGCTCTGGTCGTTGCAGCTGTTTGGAGAGCAAAACAGCAGATGGAAGATCTCAATCTCTCTCCCTCTCTCCTTTGTAAAAATCTGCCTTTAAAACAAATATGAATAAATTTTAAGCAACATACCACCTTCCTCAGGGTGGGGCACAGGCATTTGGCACAGCAGTTTTAACACCATTTGGGACAGCCACAGTTCGTATTTGAATCTTGGTTCCCTTTCCAATCCAAGCTTCCTATTGAATGAAGATCTTGGAAAGCAGCAAGTGATGGCTGAAGCACTTGGGTCTCTGCCACCACTGTGGGAAGCCAGGATGAACTCCAGCCTGGTTCAGCCCCAGCTGTTGTGAGGAAAGTGAACCAGCAAAAGGAAGAGCTCATTCTCTGTATCTGCCTTTCAAAGAAACATGAAAACAAAAACAACACCTTTCTTGCCAAAGTCAGCCCATTCTAAGGCACTGTTTTCATTATAGGACGC